TACCGGAAAGTAACAAACGAGCAGATACGTAACAATACATTGGAAAGTATTACCGCCCTTTATATTTCTTTACCAGTAAACATGTTATATTTTTCACATATGTTTATATGTTATATGTTTAAAGTTCAAAGCTATGCAATGGGCTAATTGTCATTTGCCCACCACAATAATCGAAACTAGATTTTCTATATTGCAATACGTACTATATATTTTCCACCCTTTTAGTTAATAAGTAAAATTTTCAAATTTATTTTGTTTTCCATAGTTTCCCGGATGGAGCACAGCAGTGCTCAAGTGAGTGGTGAATTATGTTAAGTGGAAATTGAGAGGCCTGTTTGCCATATTTTTTTTACAGGAGCAAGAGTCGCTTTTATTATCAAGCTGTGTAACTCTTGATCTTCACTGCTCATTGGCCAACTGATCTAACAGGCACCAATCACCGTTTTTTGTTGTTTTTTTGTATCAGGAACTTGAACGTTTATTGACATATTTAGACAATGATGGAACCTGGAAGAGCATATTATACAGATTTTTACACCAGAATTACACAGATTTTCGTGTGTTTTTGTACTTCATTACTTGTCCAGCATTCATTTTTCTTTTGTTTAACATAGCCAGAACTCTTTTAAGTTCTTGATTTAGAACTATGTGTTTTCGCTATTGTTAGAGTCATTTTAAGTGAAGTTGTGTTGTTAGTGAAAATCCAAGTCCTTACTTGGGTTTCACACTTCTAGTATATTTAAATATGCTAAATTGAAAATATCATAATTTAACTTTGGGTTATTTTGTTTTAGTGTTTTCATTTCACTCTGCGTAATTTACGAGGGTAAGCACAGGAACCAATAAAAGCATTTTTATTATTAAAGTCTTCATCATTTTGCTGGACCTGTTCTTCAGGCCTGTATGCAGAATTTTTGAGGGGGGTCTAATTTGTGAGATCAAAAGCCAACACATTTTGTGCGAAACACAATCAGTGCCCAAAGCATGCTAATGCTACGAAAATTTGGGGGCACGCCCCGCACACATTTCTAAATAAAATAGGTGCTATGAGATTAAATCTGGAAGCAATTTTGCATGAAGTATAGCTCAAACAACTGCATGGCTGTTCACATAAAATCTACAAATATCAAATGAAAACTCAACAAATCATCATTTTGTTGTAACACTGCATGGGGATCTGGCCTTAAATTAGCATAAATATTGTTACGTCTCCGTTCGTTAGTTAATTTTCCATAACTTCGTTCCAACGAAACTTTAGCGACACAAGTCCTTTCTTAAATAAAACTGGTTTATTCTTTCTGAATATAACTTTGCGATACACTTAATTTCATCAGTCGCGCTATAACAAACGCTATAATTCACGACGAACGTCTCACGTGCTCAACTTCAACCCCCAATCTAGTAGTCTCCCGATAATTCACGAAGGTTCGAGAAGTACGTGGCGTGATACTAGTCACGTGACCTCGCTGACGCAACACTGCCCCTCCTGCCCACTGCCACTTACATTAAACCAATAACAATTAACAATAATATAATTAAATGTACAGAATTACAAGCACAAAATTACATTTCAACAAAGTCTCTTAATTTTACAGGACGTATCTTCTTCC